AAACAGTTTTTGATGTTGTTTTATTATGGTAAAATATACATACCATCTTAACCATCATTAGGTGTACAATTCAGTGGCATTAAATACATTCACATTGTTTTTCAATCATCACCACCATCCATCTCCAGAACTTATTGCATGTTCCCAAACTGAAACTCTGTATTTATTAAACAAATAATTCCTGTTGTTCCCTCCCCTACCCCTAGAAACCACCATTTACTTTTCCTAGGAATCTGACTACTCTAGCTGTCTCATATAAGTGGAACCATACAATATTTGTCCTTTTGTGTCTGTTTTATTTCACTTAGCATAATGTCCTCAGGGGTCATCTGTATTATAGCAGGTGTCAAAATTTCATTCCTTCTTAAGGCTGAGTAATAGTATATGTGTACCACATTTTGTTTATTCATTGATGGACAGTTGATGAACACTTGGACTGTTTCCACTTTTTGGTGGTTGTGAATAATGCTGCTATGAACATTTGTGTATCAATATTTATTCGAGTCCCTGAATTCTTTGGGTATATACCCAGAAGTGGAATTATGTTCCCCACAGAAGCTTTTTTGCATTCCCAATGCGCAAGGGTTCCAATTTCTCTACATCCTTATCAACACTTATTTTTATTACTATTTTTTATAATAGCCCTCCTAATGGGTGTGAAGTGGTGTCTCATTGTGATTTCAATTTTCATTTCCCTAATGACTAGCATTGTTGAGCATCTTTTCATGTGCATACTAACCATCTGCATATCTTTTTTTGGAGAAATGTCTATTCAAATCCTTTGCCTATTTTTTAATTGGGTTGCTTTTTGTTGTTGAGTTGTAGGCAGTTTAAAATATATTCTGAATATTAATTCTTTGTCAGAGATATCATTTTAAAATATTTTCTCCCATTCCATGGGTTGCTCTTTCATTCTGTTGATAGTGTCCTTTTATGCAAAAAGTTTTAATTTTGATGAAGTTTTATTTATTTATTTATTTATTTATTTATTTATTCCCTGTGCTTTGGTGTCATATCCAAGAAATCATTGCCAAATCCAATGTCATAAAGTTTATCCCCCATATTTTTCCTAGCTCTTATGATTAGGTCTTTGGCTCATTTTGAGTTAATTTTTGTGTATGGTGTAAGGTAAGGATCCAACATTATTCTTTTTGCATGTGAACATCCAGTTTTCCCATCCCCATTGAATAGTTTTGTCATCCTTGTCAAAAATCATTTGACTATAAATGCAAGGGTTTATTTCTGGGTTCTCTATCCTATTCTATTGATCTATATGTCTGTCTTTGTGCTAGTACCATGATGTTTTTTAAAATTTTATTTCCATTATTTTTATTTAGGGCTATAATAGGTTCACAGCAAAATTGAGTAGAAGGAACAGAGATTTCCTTTTTTTCACTGTCCCCACATATGCCCAGCCTCTCCCACTATCAAAATCCCATACCAGAATAGTACATTCATTACAATTGATGAGCCTACATTGATACATCATTATTACCCAAAGTCCATAGTTTATATTAGGGTTCACCCTTGGTAGGGTGCATTCTGTGGGTTTGAACAAATGTATAATGACATGTACCCAGCATTACAGTATCCTATAGAGTAGTTTCACTGCTCTAAACATCTTCTGTGCTCCACCTATCATCCTTTCCTTTCCCCTAGCCCCTGATCCCTTTACAGTCTTTATAGTTTTGTCTTTTCCAGAATGTCAGATAGTTGGAATCATACAGTATGTAGCCTTTTCAAATGGGCTTCTTTCACTTAAAAATACATACTTAATACCTACCAACATGTCTTTTCATGACTTGAGAGCTCATTTCTTTTTAGTGCTGAATAATTTTGTCTGGATATATCACAGCTTATTTATCTATTCACCCACTGAAGAGCATCTTGGTGGCTTCCAAGTTTTGGCAATTATGAATAAAGCTGCTATAAACATCTGTGTGTAGGTTTTTATGTGGAAATAAGTTTTCAACTCATTTGGATTTTATATCAATTGTTTATACCAACAATTGACATTTCAACAATATTAAATCATCTAATCCATGAACTTGGGATGTCTTTTTACTTATGTGTGTCTTTATTTTTTTTTTATAACATTTCGTAGTTTTCAGTGTACAAGTTTTTTGCCTCATTGGTGATTTCCTATGTATTATATTATTATTATTTTTATGCTCACCCAAGGAGTGAGGATATTTTTTCCATTGATTTTTAGAGAGAGTGGAAGGGAGGGAGAGGGGGGAAGAAAGAGAGAGGAGAAAAACACTGACTTGAGAGAGACATCGATTATTTGCCTCCTGCTTGTACCCCAATTGGGGCCGGGAATTGAACCTGCAACCTAGAAATTTGCCCTTGACCAGAAATTGAGTCAACAACCCTTTGTTCCCAGGGCTGATGCTCTAACCATTGAGAAAACTGGCCAGGGCAGTATTGTATTCTTTTTGATGCTACTGTAAATGTAATTGTTTTCTTAATTTCCTTTTGGGATTGTTCATGGTTAATGTATAGAAAAACAATGATTTTTGTGTATTGATTTTGTAACTGCAACTTTGCTGAATTTGTTTATTTCTAACAGTTGTGTGTATGAGTGATCTTTAATGTTTCTTACATATAAAATAATGTCATATGCAAACAGATATATTACTTATTTCTTCCCAATTTGGATAGCTTGTATTTTTTTCTCTTGCCTATTGCTTTGGCTAGAACTTCCAGTAGCATGTTGGCCAGAGGTAGTGAAAATGGGCAGTATTGAAAAAGATCTTTAAAAGAGATGGGATTATGAAGCCTTTGACCTATTTAAAATTGTGTTTCTCTGTGTTCTCAGTATCTAGCACAGTGCCTGGCATGGTAATTATTGAATGAATGGATTTTTTTAAAAAGGCAGTTTCTCAAAACAAAATGAGTTAGAGGCACTTCTGAATGAAGGGTTGATTGGGGAGAAGGTAGCAAGGATTGAGGTGTGACCATATGGGTGATAAGGAGTCAGCAGTTGTCCCCGAACATAGAGCAGGTGTTGGTCCCACATTTTGAGCAGCAAAATCATTTTGCATCGTAGAAACTTTGCTTGGAGAGTCTGCTTTTAGAGATACCTCCCTGGTTAAGTTAATTCCCTTTCTCCATATTAGCACCCAACAGCTGGAAGAAAATAATGTATGTTGTATCTCTTTGTATTTATGAGTACCGAATTAATAACTTCAGTCCATTGGATGCAAAGAAAATGAGTGAAATGCTGTACATTATAGATGGAACTTGTTAATGCTAATAGAGTGTGTAACATATGCTTCAGTTTGGCACAGTTTAGAAATAATGTGAATGATTTAAAGTGCGTGAGTCTGTTTGCCTTCATTCTAATTGGGAATAGTTGGAAAGCTTCGAGTCACCACCATTTCATTAGTAATGCTGTGTTCTTCCATTGGAATGTGGCCCTCTCAACTTGGAGCAGATAAAAATTCTGATTAACTGTAGTCTTAGAATGGGAAAATCAAATGATTTTATTAAATGTGTTGGTATTTCTCCTCATCTGGACTTTAAACAAGCAGGTTCTAAATATGGACTAACATGTCTTCACTTTTTCCTTTAAAAAGGATCATCTGAGTTACAGATTTAAAAATACATTCTGGCCGAAACCGGTTTGGCTCAGTGGATAGAGCGTCAGCCTGTGGACTGAGAGGTCCCGGGTTCGATTCCGGTCAAGGGCATGTACCTGGGTTGCGGGCACATCCCCGGTGAGGGATGCGCAAGAGGCAGCTGATCGATGTTTCTCTCTCATCGATGTTTCTAACTCTCTATCTCTCTCCCTTCCTCTCTGTGAAAAATCAATAAAATATATTTAAAAAAATAAAAAATAAAATAAAAATACATTCTGTAAATGCAGAATTTGGTAACTTTGATAACAATTCTGTAAATTCAGAATTAGATCAAATCTGATAACCTAGGCAGTGGTGGAAAGAGCAGGCCCTTTGTCTCAGTGAGGGAAACCCTATAGCTTGTGCAAAAAACAGGTGTGTTTTAAGGATACAAGACTATCTTATAGGACCCAAGGACAGGAAGGACAGCCAGGCTCAGGAGTTTCTGGGTCCAGGACCTGGAAGCCCTAGGAACTGGGGTCCCTCAATATGTGTCTCCAAGGCCACAGCGTCTCACCTCTACTTTTATCTCTGCACCTGCTCCTTTTCTCTCTTTCTCAGCAGATTGGCTGCCTTGGCTTCTCTGTGCACACAGCCAAGCACAGCTACTGGCTCTGGCTTTTTATTACTTCCAGTTCAAGGGCCAGCCGAGGCTGCCCAGCATCTCTGATTTCCAAATTCCTGGGAGAATCTGGTTATCTCATCTTGAGTCAGATGACCACTCCTGGTTTGTTCATTTATTTATTTAAAAACTCTTACTGAATGCCAGGAACTGTTTTAGGCACTGGGGATGCATCCTGCCCTATGGACTGTGTGTGTGTGTGTGTGTGAGTGAGAGAGAGAGAGAGAGAGAGAGAGAGAGAGAGAGAGAGAGAGAGAGATTGTGAAAGCTCATTCTTTGGGGACTGGGTTAAGAGTTGTAGTTTTCAGAGAAAGAGAAGAATGGCTTGGGATCCAGATAGACCTGGCTTTAGATCTTGATTCTTCCCCTTACCAGCTGTGTGTGACCTTGGGCATATTAGAATCCCATTCTCAGCCCCAATTTTCTCATTGGCAAAATGGGAATAATCCTTGGTAGGTAGTTATGAGGATTAAAATGAAAAGGTACCTGTAAAGTCATGAGTGTAGTGCCAGCCACATGGAATCAGAACTCCACCCTCCTGGTTGTGACCCTGAGCAAGTTACTTAACCTGCCTGAGTCTGTCTCCTCACCTGTAAAATGGGAAAGAATTTCAGCGACAGCACATGCTGATTATGAGGATTGAATCATGTGATGTGTGCCAGGCTGCCTGGAGTTTGTACACAGTAGATATCAGTGTGGTCGCTGTTCCTCTTGCTCTTGTGATGATTAGTCACATTTTGTTCTCTTTCTTCTAGTTCCCTTTTGGCCGCCGCTCGCCCTGTGACATCTACTGGCATGGTGTTTCATTTCACGACAACAACATATTCTCCGGTCAAGTGAACAAGTTTCCAGGTATCCACTGTTGTTTTTGTTGCTGGCATTTACGAATGTTTCCAGGCTGGGTCTCAGGGTACACTTGTCCTCAATAACATGACAGTGCTTTGAGATCAAACTCGAGATCTCTTCATTGGAATTGCTGCCTGCACTCTGCCTGGGCGCCATCGCCTTGGGAGGGATGCTAACGCAGAGGAATATGGACTTAACCCACCAGGGGGTTGAAGATTGGAGGTTCAAAAACATCAAAAGACAGGCTCTCCTGGTCGATTCCACTGGTGGAAGGACATGATTTTCACTTTTTCAGTTATAGATATAACATGGGGGTATGGTGAGGGGATTATATTCTCAAAATGGAAAAAAAAATAGACCATTTTACTTAAATAATTTGCAGGAAACAGAAGTACTAAAATTCTAGGAATATGTCACAGAAATGGGGTTAGCAATTTTCATTTTCTTTAAGTACCGCATTTGGAGGTACCATTTTAAAAATCAAATGCACCTGTCTGGGAATAATAGGTGGCAGAACCTCTGCTTTTACCCAAAGCCATTATCCCAGTGAGACTTACCTGCGAGGGGACTTGTGCCAGGAAAGTGGCCTAGCCAACATTTTAAGATACCCCCTCAGTCCACTCTCCACCACCCTCTGTGCCTCTACCGCCCTCTTCTGCTGTGATTGCTATTCATTATTTTTAATGGCTAAGTGAAGAGGGTAGTTACAGTGAGTGGAGGTGCTTGGGGGAAAGGAACATTGTTGAGCTGGGTCTGATCATAGCCAAAGTGTCTTCCACTGATTTTCAGAAATTTTAACAGATGGTTCCAAGCATGTTATAATATAATAATAAAAATCGTTTTTAAAAAGATCATCACCTCCTTTAACAAAACCACAATGTGGATATTTCTGTATTTCCTCCCAAACCTTAACCATGTTTATATATCATTTTGACGTAATTGCTCTCCTGGTCTGATTCCACTGGTGGAAGGACATGAGTGTCCTTTCACCAGAGTGTAGTTGCCTGAATATAAGGTGTTTTCTCTCAGTGTTATATTATTTATGCTTATTTTATTTATTTACTTACATATTTTTTATTAAAGAAATTGTCTGCTTTAAATATATTTTTAATTGATTTCAGAGAGGAAGGGAGAGGGGGAGAGAGGAGAGAGAGAGAGAGAGAAGCATAAATGATTAGAGAGAATCATTGCTCGGCTGCCTCCTGCACATCCCCTCCTGGGATCGAGCCCACAACCCAGGCATGTGTCCTGATGGGAATCGAACTGAGACATCCTGGTTAACCACTGAGCCACACCGGCTGGGCTATGCTCATTTTGAAAAGGAGAATCAATTTGTTTTTTCCCTTTGGCAGTACATGCCACATCTGTAGGACAACACCTCTCAGAAAACCTAGTATCCATACATTATATACTGGCTGGTTGTGCCTTGTCCACTAGGGGCTTTTCAACTGAGCATACAAACTGCCCCACGCCACAGGTGGCTCAGATTCACGTAGAAGGATATAGGTCAGGACACACAGCTTGCCAGCGGGTCAGTACCCAGCATGTCTCTCCAGCAGAGTCTTTGCAAGGGTTCCAGGGGCTAGTGTCTGGTCCCTCGAGTGAAAGCTCAGGTGCAAGGAGACAAGACCTACACTGGTGGATGGGAATCTGTCTTGGCTTAGATGACTCATAGGACCCAAGATCTTATGTAGCTACTCCACAGCATAGCTTCCAGGGTTCCTCCTGCCAGCGTCATGCTAAGTGACAGGCATCACCACTCTTAGGAAAGCCTGGAGTCCTGGCTTCCTACCTGCTATCTATGCAATTTGCCAATCAGGGCCATTTTAACCATATCCTTTGTTGTCTAGTAACACAGCTAAGTCTCCACTTTTATTGGTTTCCAGGGGAACAGAGTTAGAAAATTAACCTGAGGTCAAATTTGTCTTTAGAGAAGGAGAGAGGATTCTGTTACAGAACAAGAATGATGCTTGCATTCAGGGTTCTTGCACACGGTCTAATGGAATAGTTATTGCTTTCTGTCTTACTGCGCAGAAAAGGTGACTTTTGTTGTTGTTGTTAATCCTCACCCGAGGATATGTTTCCATTGATCTTTTAGAGAGAGTGGAAGGGAGGGAGGGAGAGAGAGAGAGAGAGAGAGAGAGAGAGAGAGAGAGAGAAAGAGAAACATGGATATGAGAGAGACACATCAACTGATTGCTTCCCCCACGAGCCCTGACCAAGACTGGGGACCAAGGTACATGACCTTGACCAGAATCAAACCCAGGACCTTCAGTCTGCAGGCCAACTCTCTATCCACTGAGCCAAACTGGCTAGGGCAAAAAAGGTGACTTTTTGGTGCTACTAAAGGACCTATTGGGATATCAGGAGAGTATAATCTGAAAGAGAACAACTTTGAATGAGGACAGAGTTCCTAAGACCTGAATCCTAAGTGAGGCTTCATTTACATTTCCGACCTGCTCACGCCTTATCTAGAGAGAAGGAAAAAGGTAGGAGCTGTGACCCTCCATTCAGAACACAAATTAGAAATACAGAGAAAAATACCGCCAAAGGCCTGGTTTCATTAAAGGTGATAAAAGGATATTTATCTCAAAGAAGCAAGTTTGTCCCATCCTATATTCCACCTGCCAGTGATTAACACATACAGTTTTCCACTTTACTAACAGCAATTAATTAGCTCTAATGACAAAGTAGGATCTTGAACCTCTAGGCAGAGTGACAGTATGGCCACACCCTCCACTCTGAGAAAGACGCAGTCCTCAGCAATGGGTGATCACTGAGCAGTCTGTCCTTTGGCTCGAGTTTGTGTCCAAGCTTATCTTCTGTCTCCGATATATCCCATCATTTAACAAATGCACTTTGTATGCATTGTATGTTACTTATAGTAAGTCCTAGTGGACGTGCCTGGCAAATATAAATACTTCCCACACTGAACAAGCAAAACTTTTGGACACACATATGGGAGTAATTTATTTTGTTTGTGTCAGCACATTAGATTTTAGCCACTTTTCTATGGGCAATTTCCCTCAAGGTTTGTTATTATATCTTAACTGATGAATTAAGACTTTCTATAAAAATAATCTGCTTTAAGAAAGCCTGAAACTCTCAATTCTTAGCTTACAAACAAGTCTTTTGATGAGTTTCAGGGTCTGAGATGTTGACAGCACATGGCAGTGGTGCCTGAGAGCCCACTCTGAGGAGGGGACTAGGAAAGGGGCTCCACTGAGGAATCCATGGGGGCAGCTGTCTGGCAAGCACTGGGCTGGGCTGGGGACTCAAGGACAAGGAGAGAGGCATGTGGAGAGGGAAGTGTGATACCAAGTATGTGCTGTGCTAGAGGAAACTTGGGATGCTGTGGGGGTTTGGAGTGAGGACACTCGCCCTCACCCAGATTCGCTTGGGATAGGTGTGGTGAGAGATCCCGGAGAGGAGGATTGACATGTGAGCTGAGCCTCCAGGGATGGATGGGCCTGAACCTCACGTAAAGCAAGGGAGCAGAGCTGGTGCAAAGACAGACTGCTTAGAACTCACTGCTCACTCAGCCAGGGGAAGTGGCCCATGACGGTTAGAAAGGGTCACGTGTAATAGGGGCAGCGGAGTGATGCTAGGCAGGGACAAAAGGGCATGGGAAGCCGCTGAGGAATTTTAAGCCACAGAGTGGCATTTTGGATTTCAGAAAGATCATCCCAAGAGGTGCATTGGAGGTGGGTGGAAGCTGAGAGAGGAAATGGAGAGAGAGCTAAGAGGCTGCTGTGGCATCCAAAGTGAACTTACCAGTGGGGATGGGGATGGAGGGAAGCAGATGGATCTGAATGGACTGTTTATTGTTTGACAGCTGGTTTGTGTTTCTGTTATAAATGATATTTGGATTGAATAATGCTTCCAGAGCAGCTCAGATTTTATTTTGTTCTTATTTCTTGTTTTTGTTTTTTAAATTGGGCAAAGTTGTTACACTCTTGGGTAACTCCATATGGGAGGAGATCCACCAGGTCTTGGGACTTTGCTGCAAAAAGAAGAACCCAGGCCCGGTGCAGGGGTGGGGGTGCGGGGGTGAGAGTGGCAGGAGGCAAGATCTTGGTGTGAGAAGCTTCAACCTGCGTCAGCGGGTTTCCTAGTCGATAGGGGAACTGCTGAGACAGGGACATCTTGGGAGAGACCTCGATGAGAAACCCAGGTGCCCAGTCAGCCTCAAAAGAACCTGTTAGTAGGTCCTGAAGCCACAGACAGGAGGACCCCAGCCCTTGCAGAGTAGGCTAGGGGGGACAGGAGAAGAACATTGGAGAGAACAAGGGCAA